CTTAACCCCTTCGAGCCTGGGACGAGTCGCTCTGCCTGGGTCCCCAGTGCCCAGCAGAGCGGGACCAGGGAAGGGCCGAAGCCCGCTAAACCGGAGGATGCAGCCGGGCTTGGCTGCGCCCGCCTGTGATCCTGTACTGAGAAGGCTGAGGCAGGAGAATCACAAGTTGGAGCCCAGCCTGGGCAATTTAGGGAGACCCTGTCTCAAAAAAGGGGGGTGGGATCTGGGGTCTGGGAATGTAGCTCAGTGTGAAGGCCCTGGATTCAATATCCAGAAAAATAAATAACTAAATAAAACACAAAACCGGGGTGGAGTGTGCGAGTCTCAGTTACACAAAATTGTCTAAGACTTACTTTCCCCATCTGCAAAAGGGGAGCGATGAAAGCCATGGGCTTTTTTGCAAATAGATGCGCACCGTGGAGGGGCCTCCCCGCAGGAGACTACCTGGACGGTGGGAAGGACAAAGCGGTGGGGACCCAGCGTGCGCGCGCTCACCAGCACTCTCAGCCTGACCGCCCCGGTACAGCGGGGACGACCCACCATCACCCATAGACTCCGGATCTTCTCCGTCCCTCTCGGCCTCCTCCCCGTAACTGGGAGCCCCCCGTGCGCCCTAGGGAGCACTCCCGGGCCGGACTGCGGCGTTGTGGGGGAGGCTTATTCACCTTGATGCTGGTGGGGAGCTCCAACGCCACCACCCCACCCCACGAAAAAAACGAAATTAATTCTCCTAGGCCAAGGAAGGGAGCCACACCCATCCAAATGAGAAATTTGGGGGCAGAGGGCGCCCCCTGGTGGCGAACAGGTCTGGGACCTTCGCACTGAGCTACATTCCCAGCCCTCAGTGAGACAGGGTTTCTCTAAATCTCCAGTTCCCCAAGCTGGGGTTTGGAGTTTCTTTCTGTATCGGGGATCAAACTTGGGACCTTGTGCTTGCGAGACAGGCGGCAGCACCCCTGAGCTAAATCCCCAGCCCTCCCAGGCTGGGTTTGAACTTGTGCTCCTCCTGCCTCGGCCTTCCAGAGTGCTGGCGTTACAGGTGTGCACCATTGTGTGCAGTGCCCAGTGTTGCTCTAACATTAACTTACATCGTCTGATGTAATCCCAGCCCTCCCTTTGCTCCTGCACGTGTGTTCTGAGCATCGATCCTTGTGCCTGTTCTGAGAACCATCGCGTTGGAGCGCCGTGAAGCTGCAGAAGGGTCCTGCATGAACCATCCAGATGAGAGGAGGCGCCTCTGCAGGCAGAGGGAGCAGGGTGCCGGGAGAGTATGGCCCCGATGTTCTAACTGGAGAAGCGGCTGCTGCAGCCGACACCACTGCTACCTGGGACCAAGGCCCATCACCCCTCTCTGAAGCTCCGTAGGCACCAGGTGGCCGGGCACCTCTCTTCCCTGGGCATCACATGGGTTACTGGGACTCTTGCGAGGCCTTGGCTGCCCTCGTACCCTGTGCCAAGGCTCTGTGACCGCAGTGGGAATAGTCAGCTCGGCAGCTCCCCAGAGCTGGCTGGGAGTGAGCCCAGGGATACCTGAACCCATTCTGTCCTTGGCCCTGACTTTCAAAGCCTTGACGGAAACGCAGGAGCCACATTTATTAAATCTGCAGACAGGGACTGGGGATTTAGCTTAGTGGTTCTGCCGCCTGCCTTTCAAGCACAAGGACCCAAATTCTATCCCCAGTACCAAAAATCTGCCAACTAGGCAAAAGCTGAGAGGTACATTTTGACAGAACAGGATAAAAATGAACCAAATGAGATTTGATAGGGATAAATGGAAAATTCTGCTTTTGTTGTTCTATTTATTTATGTATTTTAGTGTTTTGAAAGAAGTTCTCACTGTGTAGTCCAGGCTGGCCTCAAATTCAGGGCAATTCTCCTGCCTCAGCCTCCCCAGTGCTGGGATTACAGGGTGTGCCACCACGCTTCACCGCACAGTATTTATTTGGTAACTGTTGTGTATCACGTGTGCAGCAGGTGTCCAATACATGTTAGAAAGCCATCAAAGAGGACTAATGTGGACCCCACCCCAAGGAGCCCGTGGTGTTTTGGAGATGATGCGGAAGCCACAGACAGTGAACAGGGGGTCCCAAGGCCCTGTGGGTGTGGTCAGGGGAAGTGGCCAGGAAGGCATCTGAGAAGGATCAGTGCAGAGAGTAGGGGCAGTGGCCAGTCGGGAGCAGTTACCACTGCGGGGTGAGGTGCTGCGCTGGGCCGAGGAGGGCAGAGACCAGAGACGTGGGGCTGCTGGGCTATACAGGCTCCAAGTATGACGTAGGAGGGAGGCAGGGGGAAAGGAAGGCGCCTCGGGGACACGGCTGGCCCTGGGAGGGAAGAGGACCCTGCCCGATGTGTAGAGTCCAGAGGATGATGCAGGGTTACGGTGAACAAAGGACACCAGTGAGCTATTCCCTTTCCTTAAAAAGGAAAAGTGTCGATATACTTATTGTTATTACTATTTTGGTACTAGGGTTTGAACTCGGATCCTTGCCCTTAGCAAGGCAGGTGGCGGAGCAAAATCCTAGGACCACATGTGCTTATTATTTGGAGGCTTGATAAATTGCAAGGCTGGATTCAAAATTGTGACCCTCCTGCCTCAGCCTTCCAGAGTGGGATTACAAGGCGTTTTAACCCACTATGCATTTTAACCCCAACCCTCTTGTGGGTTTGACCTGCAACCTTCGGAAAAGCAGCGTTCTCCTCCTCGCTGTGTCTCCACTTGTGGAGGATGGCGGGGCGCCTGGCCGCCAGGGGCCACTATTGCCTTGGGGAAGCTACATTTATGCTCTGGGAAACTGAATTTTTCAAAATTAATGGTGTCTGATCATCGCAAAACACAGTGACTGGTCATTTTGTTGATGATGCAAAGCACGTGGTACTGAGACTTCTTATGGTCTTTTCCTTTTTATTTCCTTAAACCTGGTAATAATTTCCATGCTCATAACCCAGAAAGTCAACATGTCCAAGCCCCATTTTAAAACAAAATGGTCTAAGCTGTTACAGCTTATCGATAGAATATGAGTAGTAGAAGATGATTTTGAGAAAGGAAAGGTCTTTTTGGCAATATTCCTGTTAAGCCATTTGTCTATATATTCTGTCTTATACATAACTTTGTAAAGGGGAATTTCTTTTCCTGATGCTGTGAATATAGGTTTTGTCTTTGTTGTTTTTGAGACAGGGTTGCACTGTGCAGGCCAGCCAGAACTTGAACTCACCACATTGCCCAGACTGGCCTCAAAGTCACAGCGATCCTCCTGCCTCAGCCTCCATAGTTCTGGGATAACACCCCTGGCATGAGTATAGTTTTGAAAGGAGTTTCACTTTTCTTTCCCCGTTCATTTAGTGCTCTATTTCACAGTGTGTGTCATTAAAGGCACTCATTATTATGTAATTTTAACAGCTGAGTTAGTCTGTTTAAACTATAATCTACTCAATTCAAAATAAGATTTCAGGGATTAAACATGGCAAAGTAAAGGTCAGCAGCAAAGTACAATCTCTCCAATCCCTAGAATCGAGACACCTAGAAAACAACAACTGTGGAAGAGAAAAAGTACAGCTCCAGGAATCAACGCAGGTGAGCGGAGGGAAGAGCGAGCATTCTGGATCTCCAGCCCCAGCCCCTGGAGGAGGCCGTGTGTGTCTGCAGGCACAAGCTGCAGCTCTAGGGCTGGGTCTCCTGGTTTGTCTCTGTGCCTGCGATTCACTGCTGCTGCTGCTGTTCTCCTCTCCGAGTGGTGCTGGGGACTGAGCTCCCAGGAGAAGCCCAGGTACTAAGAAAACTCAAATATTACACTGAATAAGTTGAAGAGGGGGATAGACCCCCAAGCCAGAAGACATGTCACGGGGAGACAGCATCTAACTAAAGAGATTGTCACTGCCAGGCATGGTGGTACATGCCTGTTAATACCAGCACTTGGGAGGCTGAGGCAGGAGGATTGCCTTGAGTTTGAGACCCTGTCTCAAAAAAAAAAAAAAAAAAAAAAGAGATTGCCACAGAAGTGACCCTTAACCCACAGCATAAAAACAATAGAAACGGACTGGGGATGTAGCTCGGTGGCACCATGCCTGCCTTGTAAGTGCAAGGTCCTGAGTTCGATTCCCAGCACAAAAAAAAAAAAGACATAACAGGATTCAATAAATACCTTACAGTAATAATTCTCAAGGCCAGTGGTCTCAACTCTCAGTCAGAAGACACAGACTGGCAGATTACATATAAAAACAAACAGCAGCCAGGCCTGAAGGTACACACCTGTAATCCCAGCACTCAGGAGGCTGAGGCAGGAGGATCACTGTAAGTTTAAGGCCTGCCTGGGCTACATAGTCAGACTCTGTCTCAAAAGACCAAAACAAAAATGCAACTCTAGACTACAGGAGTCACACTTCTTCCAAAAGATGTACATAGACTTAAAGTGAACGGATAAAAGCAATACTCCATTTAACTGGAACCTAAAAACAAGCAGGAAGAACTACCTTATTTCCAGACTTCAAGCGGACTTCAAGGCAAAAGTAATCAGAAGAGACAAAGATGGACACTACGTACTACTGAGAGGAACAGCTCAGCAGGAAGAGAGAACATCTGTAAATGTCCATGCCCTGAATATCTTGTGCCCAAGTTCATAAAGGAAAAATGTCTGGACCTAAAAGGACAGACACACACCAACGCAGTCCTAGTGAGGGCTTCAGTACGCTTCTCTCATGGTTAGATGGGTCAATGTGACAAAAAATCACGAAAGCATTAGAGTTCAACCCACACTCGTGAACAAAAAGACTTACCAGATACCTACTGTTTCATCCAAAAACAACAGAGTACACATTTTTTTCTCAACAGGACACTAAACTTTTTCCAAAACAGTATTTCTTAGCCCATAAAGCATGTATAAATAAGTACAAAAGGACTGAAAAAAAATCCCCTGTATATCTCAGATCATAGCAGAATGAAGCTAGAAATCATCAGCAAAAGAAGCCACAGATAGCTGGCATGGTAGTGCATGCCTATAATCCTACCACTTGGGAGGCTGAGGCAGGAGGATCGTCCTGAGTTCAAGGCCAGCCTGAACTATATAGCAAGATCCTGTCTCAAAACACACACACACACACACACACACAAGAAGCTACAAAAACCATGCAAACACATGGAGATTAAACAATATATTATTGGAGGACCAGGGATTTAGCTCAGTGGTACTGTGCCACTGAAACAAGGTCCTGGCTGAGGCAGGAGTATCATCAGGAGTTTGAGGCCAGCCTGGGCTTCACATGAGTTCAAGACTATCTTGGACCTTGTCTCGAAAAACAAAAAACTAGTCAGAACCAGCATGACGGCACACATCTGTTAACCCCAGCATTTTGGAGGTGGAGGCAGGAAGATCATAAATTCAACTTCAAGCCCCCA